CATGCAAGAATCACAAAGACATCAAGCATACATAAACGCTTCTCGGGACCGCCCCGACATCGGACTGAAGTCTAGAACATATAAGCTACATCGGGTTATCGAGGGCATCAGACCTAAGTCTAACATATGATAACATACATAAACGGGCTAGCATTGGTTCCTTCGGCCCATTCCTACTGGAGGTAAACTCACGTCACACTTCTGAAGTCCCGCTCACAAAACCCTAGCTGTTGGATGATAGATTCCTAAATCTGCAACATATAAATAACACCCAATTATTAATTGGGTTCCAACACATAACCAAAAGTCCATGCTTGGGGTAAAAGACTGCTTTACCCCTATCATAACTTGATTCAAGCTCAAGACCCAATCCAAAGGCCCAAAAGTTAAACTATAAATCAAAGCCCTATATGGCCCAGATTTCCAAATTGGGCCCAAACCTCTTCATGGTCTTACCCTAAGGTCCAACCATTTATTCTAGTCCAAACATATGGCATTAATTAAGGCCCAGTTATGGCCCATCTATGGCCCAATTTTCCTAATTGGACCCAAACCTGTCCAATGGGCCTTATCCTATAGCCCAATCTAGATGCTAGTTCTTGGATGGACCATTAGTAGCCCATGCACTAAAGCCTAATAGAAAGGCTCAACTCAAGGCCCAAGTGTAGTTAGGGCTTTCATATAAAATGGCGATTAAGGTTAAGTGTTTGTCACTTAACCCATTAAGGACTTAATCCATCAAGTCCATCACTCTTCAAAATAAATCATGTGGTCTGATCGGGCCCAATTCACAATTCTATTCCAATGCCCCAATATGTGGGTCTCGATAAGTCCAAATCAATAATTCCAAAATTAGGATTTTCTGAACCCTAATTAGGCTTTTCAAACTAATCATAGCCCAATGGGCCCGAAACTAAGTCCTTAGATAAATTAGGGCTTCATTAGGCTCAATATGGTCTCATAAAGCCCATTAGGGTTTCATAAATCGGGCACCACCAACTATCACCTTAGGAAGTGGTGGTTAACGGCGACTCACAGCGGCTCATGGCGGCGGCCATCACCTCACGGTGGTGGTTACGGTTCTATTCAAATTATGTCTAATTATTCCAAAAGCAATCCAAACACAAACTAAGCACACTGCCACCGAACACATCGGCTGGTAGCGGCAGCCACCACCTCATGCTGGTGGTTATGAGTTTTTCATTTTATTATTCATTTACCAAAATACAATTTACATCACAAAAACCCTATTAAACACACACATACACACACACACTAAAATAAACACACACACATAGCTACCTTAGTTGTGGTCGACGGTGACATAATGGTGGCACCCACCACCTTTTGGTGGTGGTGGTGGTGGCTATTCTTGGATTTCCGGCTAAACGAACCACGTACTTACAACTGAAACACGCACACAAAACACGCTTCTTTCTCGGGAATAAACACAACCACCCACCTCACAGTGGCGTACGAAGGTCTGACAGCAACTGCAACGTGGCGTCCAACCGAAAAAACAACGGTACCGGGTCTAAATCCGTGTCCATCCAAACTTTAATTCATATTTCCAATATTAGTCCTTTTCCATAATATTGATTTTAGTTTAAGTTGAAAACTTACACTTTAGCCCCTGCCTCCATAAAATCTTTTCAACTTTAATCCAATATTTACCATTCAGCCCCTTCCTTCAATATTTCAATTTAAATCCAAAATTTACCAAACCACCCTGAACCTCAAAAATTCTTTACAAACAAATCCGGAAATTACATTTTAACCCCCAAAACTCTCAATTATAACTTTTTAACTCCCAAAACTAACTTCTTACTACACTATTCCACATTTAGGAAGGGTGGGAGCATTTTGAATCAATGAAATCAGTGTATGAAATTGAACCAAAGATAGAACACTATGGGTGTTTAATTGATCTTTTAGGTCGAGTTGGGCTACTGAAAGAAGCAAAAAAGATAGTTAGCAAAATGCCAAGGGAGAAAGATGACATGTTAGTTCCAGTTTATGGTGGTTTCACTACTAGAAACTTGAGTTTCAGCTACGGATTTTGCTACAGATTTATTCTCTAGAAAAAATTTAGACTTATAGCTAGGGAAATACGACATATCTACCATGTTTTTCATAATTATTTTATTTATGTAACATATAGAATATTAGTGAGGATTTACCGAGGGATCAACTACAGATCTCGCAAGGATTTAACGATGCACCACTATTCCTCGCTAATCACTCAAAAAATGAAGGCGCTTAGATAGGGTTCAACGAGGGATAAAAAATTGTGCCATCTGGTACCCGTTTAGCGAGAGAATGCCGACGGAAATGATACTTGGGATACGCGTGTTTTGTTTTTTCTATCGCCCATCTCTTGCGCTGAAATTGGCACAACCCAGTTCCATCTTCACGAAGGTGATGTAACTTTCCTTCCCTATAGCTTTATGACTCTTGACTCTGGAGTAAGTTCCCTTCATCTCTGTTCCGGTTCTGCTTTATCTCACCATCTCTGTTCGAACAGAAGACGACACTACTCATCTGATTCTAGCAACCTCCACATCTTTAAATCTGAAAGTATTCTTAATTTACCTTCGTTAGGGTTTAATTTACCTTTCGTTTTAGGTAAATATCATCCCTCTTAGGTTAGTTCTAGTTCAATTTCACAATATACTTCGTTAGGGTTTAATTTTCCTTGAAACGTTTTGGTTATTGTGTTAGGGATACCATCGATTGCATCTATATAAGAATAGACACTTAGAATTAGAACTTGAGTTAGGGGTTGATTCATCTAGTTTCTCAATTTTCATGCAATTCCGAAGAGCTACAGTAGCATCATTCTCCCCAGATTTAATCATCACAACACCAGGACAATCGAACGATTTGATATTCTTGTCTAATTGAACTTCTTGAATTGTTCTTGTTAGACCTGGTGTAGCCCCAACATTAGCAACATGACATGTTTTCAAGCTATTAATTAGACTGCTCTTGCCTACATTAGGCAAGCCAACTACACCCATAGTAATCGACTTTTTACTCTGCATCAAATTTGGAGTACACCATCAGTAGAAAACTTATAAGTGAACACCACATGAAAAAGAAGATAAAAAAGTTGAAATGTCTACATCATGGCTTCTTGAGTAATTCTTGACTTTTTAATCGACTTTATAATAGTTTCTGCTCCTAGACAATCACTTGTTTGTAAAAGATTAGTCGTCTTTTTTGCAACCTTTGAGGATTCCATCCTAGATTAGATTCCTGCTGTTGAGTGCTACACTTAAAAGCAACTGCTGACAACTCCTCTTTTAGTGACTTTCTTTTGATTTTTCGTTTAATTTTTTGGTGAAGCAAACAAAAGCTATACCTGATTAGTTATTTTTCAACCATCACACATAAAGAGTTCTTTATGTATGATTTTGGTTTTTATTTCCTTTTTCATGCTTAGTTGATTGATGATATTCACCAAAGTACTACTTGTAATTTATTATAATTTTCTTTATGGGTTTCTCTAGACAAAACTAATTATCGGTTTTAGCTTTATCATACGCTTTTATATTGTGATTCTTTTCTATAGACATTACACTAATTATCAATTCTTTTCTTGAAGTGATCTCAAAAGGCTATCTTTGGAAGGAATATTCACACCTGAGACGTTTGTAAGTGTCATGTTCTTTCGCATAACCATTTTCTAACTTGAATCACTTTTGCCTTTGTCATATTGTCATACTTGTGTTGGCTTTTGGCTTTGTTTCCAATGTGTCATTAGATTTGGCTTGTGTTTAAGGGGTTTTCTTTACTCATTGTAGTTGGTTTTTGTGGACTTCTCTTGAATTTTCTTGACTTTGGGGGTCAGCTTCTTTTTCACTTTTGTTTTAGGCAACTGGCTTCCGTTGTTAACAAGATTCACTTCTATCTTGCCATCTTCAACGGGTGAATCTTTCAAAGCAAATGTATCATCTTTTTTAACAACTTTTATAGATTTAGCATATGTTATTCCTCTAACTTCTAATGGCTTCTTATGAGTCAATCTCTTGACTTTGGGGGTCGGCTTCTTTTTCCAATGTCTATTGAATGAAAGGAACATTTCTAATTCTCATTTCCTGTTTCCTCATTGTTTTTCATTTTGGTTTTCTGGCATATTTAACTTAGTTTTAAATTGAATTACAAAATGGAACCTGTGCTTTCTAAGATTTACTATGTTTGGTGTTTATTCAATAATGGATTATTAAATTAGTGTTGCCTCCATATATACAACATAGAGCAGATGTCATATATGAATTTGTCAATCCTAGCCATATATGAATTTGTCAATTGTCATGTTACAATATAATTATACACATTCATTTATCATTAATGGCTTCTTTAGTTCTTTAAAAAAAGGATCACATGATATGACATTAAGCATGATAGTTATATGAGAATACTGAGTCATGTATGTTTTTGAGCTTAGAAATAAGAAAATAAATCTTCAAAACTGGGATAAGTAAAGCTCTCACCTTTCCAGCTGGAGTTGAACAACATCTTTCCCCCTTTAAATCAATGAATGGACACAGTTAGAAGATTTCTTACTTTTCTAGTATTTACAAAATATGAAGATAATTTAATAAGTATATGGGAAAATAAATTACAAGTTGATAATGCAAATTATTAATAATTGAGTAGATTATTATTATTTATAAAAGAATTGTTAAATAATTAGATGGGTACCTAAATTTGAACTTTAAGGTGTCCTTGAGCCCTTGATGTGTGAAATTAATTTGTATTTGATTTTGGGTATGGGTTTTTGACATGTAAATCACTTAATAATAATGATAATTTTATATTAGAAATTTCATCACTTATGTCTTCCAATTAATATGTGTAGTACCCATAGTTTCAAGCCATTGCAATTCCACTATCAAATCTGAATTTCCCAAGTTAAATGGGTAGAAATTCTTCTAACAATTTAAGACCTTGCATACTTAATCTAACACACCGAGTTCCTTTCCTTTAAACAATGAATGCTCAAGTTTCCTACCTTTAATCAACAAAGCATCGATTGGGCTCACGATTGTAAGTGTTTTTGCTTCCAGACTTTGATAAAAGTTTTTTGTAAAATAAAAATTGTAGGAAAACAAATGTGGCAAAAGTAAAAAAAAAAAAAAAAAGCTCTTTTTTTTTGGCTCCTTTATATCTAATTTGTAGTTGATTACAATCTTTATAATTGCAGGGAGTCACTGAATGCTCCTGGATGTGATGCAATCCATATAATTGAAATTGAAACAGACATTGATTACGACACTTTCATACCATCTATCAACACTTCAGAATTCCAACTATGGTATTCGTCATTCCCACAACTTGAGAATGGAATCCGCCATTCCTTCACTACATATGTTCGTGTGAAAAGCTCAGGAATTGAAGCCCCCAAGGTTAATGGATCGTTGTCTGAATGTCATTCCGACTCACCAAAATTTGATGCAAGAATGTTCTCTTTGACCAACAGGAACAACTTGGAAGGGCCTAAAAATGGCAAAGCTTCAACTCTCACCATTTCCAAGAAACTCAAGTTTTTTTTTTTAATGACAAAAGTTGATCAAAAAATACCTCCATAAGAAGCAGATCCAACACCTTTGGATACAATTGTCCCGATGGCCTGTTGCAAACGTGAAATATTACTATATTAGGCCCTAGAATGTTTCTGTTTCTTAATCATAAATTCAATAGTTTAGAAAAGGGCAAAATGGTAATTTTCCAAATCGGTGATCGTTTCTAGGCTTGAAGACTTGATAGGATATGATTTAGCAGTTGCTGTGTCAAAAGAATTCGCCACTGCTTTTCCTGATCGCACTTTCATCTCTCCTATAGTTGACCTTCTTCGTAAAAATTGGCGAAATGGTAATTTAGTAATTTTCATTTTCGTGTTGTCTCTCAATTATGTGTTTAAATGACATGGATTTTTTAGGTAAAAACAATGGAAAAGGGTAGCCAATCTTATGCCACAAGGAAAGGTAATCCATTTGTACCCTTGGGACATACTAAGGGCAATTTTGTCATTTTGTGTTTTATCTATGTAGACTGTAGCCATGACTGATGAAGAAATAGTAGAGATAGTGTTGTTCCCTGTGGTGAATGAAGCATGTCGTGTTCTAGAGGAAAAAATTGTTGTTAAAGCATCCGATCTTGACATTGCATCTGTTCTTGGGATGAGTTTTCGTTCATATCGGTATGTTTATAATTGAAAATTAGCAATATAGTTTGCAAGAATAAACATTTTTAGATAAAAAATGTATTTTTCATTTACTTAATGTATTTCAAAACGTGTTGCAGTTGTGGCATTGTTTTTTGGGCAGATGTTGGGAGTAAACACATATATACAGGTCTGAAAAAATGGTTTGAAAAATATGGCAACTTTTATAAACCATCAAGATTCTTGGAAGAAAGAGCCATGAATGGTGTCTTATTGGTGAGTTTACTTTTTTATCCTCAATCTTTTTTACTTAATGGACTTAATGGGACATATATAAGCTATATATTGGTGTTGTTTTGCAGAGTGCACCTATAAATACGGGTTCTAGAGCACGTATGTAAGCAAGGGTATACAACTATATGTTCATGGGTTGAGTTATATGAAGCTTAGTATGATATGAAACATGATACTTTGGTAACTTTGATAGTTTTTGTATATTATAATGTTTGGTTGAATCATTATTTGATGTTTTTTAGTATAATAATTTGATGATTGTAGTATTTTTTTTCTTTTAGAATCATAATAAAAAAAAAGATATTACAAGTTCGCGACGGATTAGTGACAAAATAATAATAATAATAATAATAATAATAATAATAATAATAATAATAATAATAATAATGCATGAATTTTGTGAGGGATTAGCTACGGAAAAAAAATCATGTCTAAAGTTTGCGACGGATCAGCAATGGGTTTTTTTTAGTATATGAACTTTGCAAGGGATTAGCTACGGAAAAAAAAAATGATCAGGGAAATTGCGACAGAACAACGACGGAATGTCTTTAACAAATTTTGTCAATAATGTCCTGGGTAAATGTATTGAGTGACATTTGGCGACGGATTTTATGTCACTAAGTTTGTCGCAAGGAAAAGCCGACCCGTCGCTAAAACCCACTTTGAGTCATTAGCCACCTTTTATTTACCTATGGAGTGAATCTTTCGCTGATCCATCACAAACAACATTTAGCGACGGAATAGCGATGGATTCGTCCGTCTCTAAAACCCGTGTTTCTAGTAGTGTTTGTTGAGTGCATGTAGATAGTATGGCGATCTTGAGTTGGGTGAGCATTTAGCTGATAGGTTAAGTGAAATTGAAGGTGATGATTCGAGTATTTATACGCTTTTGGCTAACATTTATGTTTCTATTGGGAGATGGGAAGATGTGATGAAGTAAGAAGGAAAATGAGAGGTGATGGAGTTAGAAAGGAGCCTGGGTGTAGTTCTATTGAGGTTAATGGAAATGTTTATGAGTTTCTTGCTGGAGATGCTTCTCATCCTGAAATGAATGATATTTATTTCAGTTGGAACACATTGTTTAAACAGTCATTTGTGTGTGAGAAATATGATGTGGAGCTAGTTAATTTGGTTTCAATAAAAGCTCTTGACATGCTATGTAGATAGTTTTTCATTGTAAAATGTAAATCACTGAATGAGGTATTATTTGTGTTATGTCGATTTACTTAGGATCTTCATGAATATTGTTGATTTTATTTGTAAAAACCAGAGAATATCAAATTAATCTGATTCACCTAGTTAGGTCTTGATTAGTATGCAATTAACCCTTTTTTATAAAACTCGTGAGTCTCAAACAAAACTCAATATGTCTTTTGGCTTGTCTTCATAAATCATAGGTACGAAATAATAGTGTTTGAACATATAAAAATAACGAACTAATTAAACACAAGAAACTAGGATACTCATTTAGCTTGCCTTTGTAACTCATATGTGTTGATTAGTACACAACTACATCTTATAAGCAGTAGGAAAAATAGTTTTACATTCTAAAGCGTTTAGCAGTATTGCATTAGTAATACAAAAATCTAGAAAAGCTCCATGAATGGTTTTGTGGTCCCTCACCTTGCTACAGTTAATGTTAAATGTTCATCAACTAAATTATGCTGCAGGGGCATAGTCGTAATCTCCATCATCATCATCCCCATCTCCTTCAAACCTGGCTGCTGGTGTATAGTAGGAGCCCCTATCATTCATCTCCCTGTTTGTATGGCTCCTACACCACCACCCTCTGATTGACTTGGTAACAGATGACATTTCCATGATGACAGACTATGAAGAAATGTTGAGGTTGTGGTTGTGAGTTGGAAAGAAGCTTAGAAGCCATGCATATTTATGCGCAAGAGTAAACTGGGTATGTTTTCACATAGGTTTACCCACGAGAATAAGTGTGGAGTTATGATGAAATCGTGTGCCTCACGTATATGGGGGCACCTATTTCTAAAATTTTTAGCAGACATATCAGAAGAAATGTATAGAGTTTGATAGGTGGCCCACAAGAGAAAAATGTTTGGAGTTTGATGGGCATCCTTTTAATGAGAAGAAATGGCAGAAAAGGATGTTGCACTCATATTGACAGGAATCTATCAAAAAGTTGAAGTGTGGAGTCGTTACCAATGGATGTGCATGACATAATAAGGTTGACAGGTCATTCAGCCCCATAAGACTGTCAGGTGACACATCAGCAGGGTGGATTCTTTGATCATTGCCATGTCATTCTGCAAAGTCGGGGAAGTAAATACGATCACGTTATAAAGCATATGTAGTCTTAAAGATCAATTGTTTTTTATAAGTTTTCTTGTAATATTAGTTTGTTTTGTTCAAATTAATCTGTATTTTAGTAAATAGATATTAAAAAAAGTGATTGTTATTATGGTATCTTTATTATCCTCTCATTACCAGAAATTAAAAGATAGAATATAAGTAATTTGACTGTTGTGTTATGATTTGCCTCTTGAGTCAGGGTGCACTTGACCTTTATAATGAAAAGTCACTTTTTAAATAGTTTCACTTTATATGATTTTAGATCCAACTTTTTTTAGCTTTTATATAGGTCTACTACAGTACCATTCTGTTCGAAAATAATCTTGGTTTTGGACAATAAAAGTTTTTTAATCGAAAAAGTCATAGCGTACATCTAATTTTCAAATAAGCGGGTATAATGATATCTCTTGGCCATATTAATATTCTTATATAATATATATGATGCAACATGTTTAATTTATAAATTAACTAGGGTTCATTTGGTCCTGTTAATGATATTCTAGTGTTCAAGAAGAGTAAATGTTCATTGTCAACTAGTGTTTGCAATGGGTACGATTTTTTCTTTAATATTTTTCTTGCATTATGTATTCTTCTTTATAAGTTGTACACTATAACGGCTGTAGTCAACAGCTATTCAAAGGGACTGAGATATATTTTATAATATTCTATTGAACTTTGTAGACTTCAATGCATTGTAGAAAACAATAATAGAGTTGTATGAATTTTAGAACGATGATATGATAATCCATTAAACTCAATGGAGTTCAATGCAGGATGCTCTGATATGAAGTATCCATAGCATTTAACATGTGGGTAACAAAATGTCATTGTAGTCCATATTTTATTTTCATGTGATAAGCACTATAGATATTTTCAATGCAATCCGTATTCGAGTGGCCTGAGTTATATATACAGTAGTATCTATGTCTATGTATCACTATCTTTGTATGTGATCATAATATCTTTGATGGTGATATTTGTCGTGACTAATGAAGGAATACTGAATATTTCCTTATAGAAAACCATACACAATTATACATACAACCATAATTCCCGACTGACCACATGGTGCCTCTACTACAGACCTTCATTTGATGAAATCGATCTGGTTTTAGAATAAAGGAATAGCTTACGACCATATGTAATCTGCACTAGTTTTAGGGTAATTACGTATTCACGAGTTTCTAATTTGATCGTAATTGTTCTTTACACATGTTAGCAACATGTGTCTGCAATGTTACACCTGTTGTTGAAGAACTACCGAGTTACAATGGTCAGGTGGTAGAAAAGATATCATAGAGCAGTTGAAATTGTCGATTACTAGAAATTTTATGATTCTGGTCTAGCAAAACTAACAACTGAGTATAAGAGTAGTATATATACTTTCACACAGTATAACCATTATCGACTCCTAGCCAACTAGCAGCATTGCACTATAGTACTACCAAAATCTATAAAAGCTCTGCAAACATAAATTCTATTGAGGTTATTAATGGCAATGTTTATGAGTTTCTTGCCGGAGATGCTTCTCATCCTGCAATGCAAGATGTTTATCTCAGTTTGAACAAATCTGCATGTGTAAGAGAAATATGATGTGGAGCTAGATATTATGGTTTTTATAAATTCTTGACCAGATTAAATCTGTTGTAAGCCCATGGGTTGACATAGTTTTGGCTAGTAAATCACCAAATGAGGTATTATTAGTGTTGTTTTTTATTTGCTTAGGATCCTCCTGAATATTGTGGATTTTATTTGTAAAAATCAGAGAATGTGAAATTAACTTCATGCATCAAGTTACATTAGTATGCATTAACCCTTTTTTTTATAAACTTTTCAGGTTCAAACATAAGTGAATGTCTTTTGGCTTGCCTTAATCAAACATACATAGTAAATCATATTGCTTGAACAGATAAAAATAACAAATTAAACACATGAAACTAGGATCATCATATGTCTTGCCTTTATAACTCAAAGAGTTTTACATTCTAAAACATTTAGCAGTAATGCATTAGTAATACAAAAATCTATAGAAGCTCCATGAATGGTTTTGTGGTCCCTCACCTTGCTACAGTTAATGTTAAATGTTCGTTAATTAAATCATGCTGCAGGGGCATAGTCGTAATCTCCATCATCATCGTCCCCATCTCCTTCTAACCTGGCTGCTGATGTACAGTAGTAGCCACTGTGATCATTCTTCACCATGTTAGCATGACTCCTACCCAACCATCCTCTGATTGACTTTGTCACAGACGACATTTCCTTGATGAGAGACTATGATGAAATGTTGAGGTTGTTGTTTTGAGTAGGAAAGAAACTGAGAAGCCATGCATATTTATGAGCAAGAGAAGTAAACTGGGCATGTTTTCACATAGGTCTACCCACGAGAATAAGTGTGGAGTTATGATCACATGCTGTGCCAGAAATATAAGTGGGCACCTATTTGTAAAAATTTCAGAGTGACATATGAGAAGAAATGTATGGAGTTTGATAGGTGGCCCACAAGGGAATAATGTTTATCTTTTTTCTCAAAGAAATGACAGAAAAGGATCGATTTTGCACTCATATTGACAGGAATCTATTAAAACGTTGAAGTGTGGACTTTGTAGTTTTTACCAATGAATGTGTATGACAAAATATGGTTGACAGCTCATCCAGCCACATAAGACTGTCAGGTGACACATCAGCACGGTGGATTCTTTGATCATTGCCAAGTCATTCAGCAAAGTAGGGGAAGTAAACACGATCACGTTACTTAGAAAGCATATTTAGTCTTAAAGATCAATTTTTTTATAAGTTTTCCTGTAATATGTTCAGATCTTAAAATAAGGTGATTGTTATTATAGTATCCTTATCCTTAAAAGATAGAATATAAGTCTTTTGACTCTTGTGTTATTATTTGCCTCTTGAGTTGTTAATTAACCCCAAGAAAAATTGAATTAAAGCAATAACATGAACATTACGTATCAGAGGAGAAGATGTTTTTATGTGCACTAA